GGTTATCAAATTATTGCCATTAAGAGTCAACAGAATTAAAAGTTTGTATATGAATAAAAAGAAATGATTTAATAGATGATAATATTATTATATATATTCAAAGCTTTAAAGGATAAAAACCTTCAGCCAAGAATACTCTATCCAGCAAGAATTTCCTTCAGATATGAGGGAGAAATTAAATCTTTTCCAGACAAACAAAAGTTAAGGGAATTTGTAACTAAAAGCCCTCCATTACAAGAAATCCTCAAGAAGGCTCTCATACTTGAAAAAAGAAAAAAGGGAGAAAGGGGACACAAGCCACAGACTAGGGAGACCAATGGATAGAACCAGAACAGGATAGCAAATATTCAACTATAGCATTAGGGTAAAAATAAGGAAACTACCAGAACTAGGACGATCTTAGCACTCTAACTACAAATTAATAAGACGAGTTGGAATAAAAAATGAAAATAATTATTTAGGAGGGGAAGAGCAAAGGGTCTAAATCAGTATTGGTTGAGTAAGTAAGAGACCACCAGAGAATAGACTATATTATACACGAGATTCTAAATACAAACTTCAAGGTAGACACTAAAATAAAGTACAGAACAGAGTCACAAATCATAGATAAGGAAAAATCTAAGAAACCCAGCATAAGAAATTGCAGTATTAAATGGATAGTCTAAAGCACATAGGAAAAGAAACACAGGAAAACAAGATAATGAGTGACAGATTGACAGCATTAAGTCCACATGCATCAATAATCACTCTCAATGTGAATGGATTGAACTCTCCAATAAAAAGACACAGAGTGGCAAAATGGATTAAAGAACAAGTTCTAACAATTTGTTGCCTCCAGGAAACACACCTCAGCCCCAAGGACAAACACAGACTCAGTTTGAAGGGGTGGAGGACAATACTTCAAGCAAATAGCAAGGAAAAAAAGGCAGGTGTTGCAATTCTCATATCAGACCAAGTGGATTTCAAAATAAGACAGGTAAAGAGAGACACAGAGGGACAATATATAATGATCAAAGGGAGACTTCTTCAAGAAGAAATAACGCTTATAAATATCTATGCACCCAACACAGGAGCACCAAGATTCATAAAGCAACTATTAACAGACCTAAAGGAAGATGTTAAAAACAACACAATAATAGTAGGGGACCTCAACACCCCACTCACATCAATGGACAGATCATCCAGACAGAAAATCAACAAGGAAATAGTGGAGCTGAATGAAAAACTAAAACAATTGGACTTAATAGACATATATAGATCACTCCAGCCTGAAGGAGCTGAATACACATTCTTCTCAAGTGCACATGGAACATTCTCTAGGATAGACCATATGTTGGGAAAAAAGGCAAGCCTCTACAAATTTAAAAAAATTGAAATAATAACAAGCATCTTCTCAGATCATAGTGCTATAAGGCTAGAAATTAATTACAAGAAAAAAGTTGAGAAAGGCACAAAGATGTGGAGACTAAACAACACACTACTGAACAAGCAATGGATCATTGAAGAAATTAAAGAAGAAATAAAAAAATACCTGGAAACAAATGAAAATGATAGCATGCCATACCAACTCATATGGGATACAGAAAAAGCTGTATTAAGAGGAAAATTCATCGCAATACAGGCACATCTTAACAAACAAGAAAAATCCCAAATAAGCAACCTTAAAGCACACCTAACTGAGCTAGAGAAAAAAGAACAAATGAAGCCCAAGGTCAGCAGAAGGAGAGAAATAATAAAAATCAGAGCAGAAATAAATACTATTGAAACGAAAAAGGCAGTAGAAAGGATCAATGAGACAAAGAGCTGGTTTTTTGAGAAGATAAATAAAATTGACAAACCACTAGCCAGACTTACAAAGAAAAAAAAGGAGAAAGCTCAAATAAACAAAATCAGAAATGAGCGAGGAGAAATAACAACAGACTCTGCAGAAATACAACAGATTATAAGAGAATACTACAAAAAACTATATGCCAACAGAATGGATAACCTAGAGGAAATGGATAAATTCTTGGACTCCTACAGTCTCCCAAAGCTCACTCAAGAAGAGGCAGACAATTTGAACAGACCAATCACAAGGAAAGAGATTGAAACAGCAATCAAAAACATCCCAAAGAATAAAACTCCAGGACCAGATGGCTTTCCTGGGGAATTCTACCAAACTTTCAGAGAGGATTTAATACCCATCCTTTTCAAGCTATTCCAAAAAATTAGGGAAGATGGAACACTTCCTAACACATTCTATGAGGCCAACATCACGCTGATACCAAAACCTGACAAGGACACCACGAAAAAAGAGAACTACAGGCCAATATCACTGATGAACATAGATGCAAAAATTCTAAACAAAATTCTGGCAACCAGAATTCAGCAATTCATCAAAAGAATCATACATCAGGATCAGGTGGGATTCATACCAGGCACACAGGGATGGTTCAACATCCAAAAATCAATCAATGTGATACACCACATCAACAAACTGAGGAATAAAAACCACATGATCATCTCAATAGATGCAGAGAAGGCATTTGACAAGATCCAACAGCCATTTATGATAAAAACTCTGAACAAAATGGGCATAGAAGGAAACTACCTCAACATAATACAGGCCATATACAACAAACCCATAGCCAACATCATACTCAATGGGCAAAAACTGAACCCCATCCCCCTGAAAACAGGAACGAGACAAGGATGCCCTCTATCACCACTCTTATTTAACATAGTACTGGAGGTCCTGGCCAGAGCAATCAGGCAAGAAAAAGGAATAAAAGGAATCCAAATAGGGAGGGAAGAAGTGAAACTCTCACTGTTTGCAGACGACATGATCTTATATATAGAAAACCCCAAAGAATCCATTGGAAAACTGTTAGACGTAATCAACAACTACAGCAAAGTTGCAGGGTATAAAATAAATTTGCATAAATCAGTAGCATTTCCATACTCCAGTAATGAACCAACAGAAAAAGAACTCAAGAATACAATACCATTCACAATTGCAACAAAAAGAATAAAATACCTTGGGTAAATTTAACTAAGGAAGTGAAGGACCTATATAATGAAAATTACAAGGCCTTTCTGAGAGAACTGGATGATGACATAAGGAGATGGAAAGACATTCCATGTACATGGATTGGAAGAATAAACATAGGTAAAATGTCCATTCTACCTAAAGCAATCTACAGATTCAATGCCATCCCAATCAGAATCCCAATGACACTCTTTACAGAATTAGAACAAAGAATCCTAAAATTCATATGGGGCAACAAAAGACCCCGAATTTCTAAAGCAATCCTGAGAAGAAAGAACAAAACAGGAGGCATCACAAACCCTGACTTCAAAACATACTACAAAGCTACAGTAACCAAAACAGCATGGTACTGGTACAAAAACAGGTGCACAGATCAATGGAACAGAACTGAAAGCCCAGAAATAAAACCACACATCTATGGACATCTTATGTTTGACAAAGGAGCTGAGGGCATACAATGGAGAAAAGAAAGTCTTTTCAACAAATGGTGCTGGGAAAACTGGAAAGCCACATGTAAAAGAATGAAAATTGACCATTCTTTTTCACCATTCACCAAAATAAACTCAAAATGGATCAAAGACCTAAAGGTGAGACCTGAAACCATAAGGCTTCTGGAAGAAAATGTAGGCAGTACACTCTTTGACATCAGTATTAAAAGGATCTTTTCGGACACCATGCCTTCTCAGAGAAGGGAAACAACAGAAAGAATAAACAAATGGGACCTCATCAGATTAAAGAGCTTCTTCAAGGCAAATGAAAACAGGATTGAAACAAAAAAACAACCCACTAACTGGGAAAAAATATTTGCAAGTCATATATCTGACAAAGGCTTAATATCCTTAATATATAAAGAACTCTCGCAACTCAACCACAAAACATCAAACAACCCAATCAAAAAATGGGCTGGAGACATGAACAGACATTTCTCCAAAGAAGATATACTGATGGCCAATAGGCACATGAAAAGATGCTCATCATCGCTAATCATCAGGGAAATGCAAATCAAAACTACACTAAGATATCACCTTACACCCGTTAGAATGACAAAAATATCTAAAACTAATAGCAACAAATGCTGGAGAGGTTGCGGAGAAAAAGGAACACTCATACACTGCTGGTGGGAATGCAAACTGGTGCAACCACTATGGAAAACAGTATGGAGATTCCTCAAAAGACTAAAAATAGAACTACCATACGATCCAGCCATCCCACTACTGGGTATTTATCCAAAGAGCCTGAAGTCAGCAATCCCAAAAGTCCTGTGCACCCCAATGTTTATTGCAGCACTGTTTACAATAGCCAAGACGTGGAAGCAACCTAAGTGCCCATCAACAGACGAATGGATAAAGAAGATGTGGTACATATATACAATGGAATACTACTCAGCTGCAAAACAGAACAAAATCATTCCATTTGCAATAACATGGATGGACCTTGAGAGAATTATGTTAAGTGAAATAAGCCAGCGAGAGAAAGATAATCTGTGTATGACTCCACTCATATGAGGAATTTAAAACTATGGACCAAGAATAGTTTAGTGGATACCAGGGGAAAGGTGGGGTGGGGGATGGGCACAAAGGGTGAAGTGGTGCACCTACAACATCATTGACAAACATTAATGTATAATTGAAATTTCACAAGATTGTAACCTATCAATAACTCAATAAAAGAAAAAAAATACTGATTATATAAAAGCCTTAATAATAATAACAATAAAATTGATTTTTGCTTTTATTAAATTAATAAAAATTTTAAGAGCTTTGAAAAAATCACAAGTGCACAAACTCATTTCTTCATTGGTAGATAAGGCTGTACTTATCTTTAGTTTCTTAAAAACTCTATATAGTCCTTCATTCTTCATATTCTATGCATCACATGTGTTAGGGAAGAGTTATTTTCTTAATATCACACATAACTGCTTTTTTCTTTATATTCATTCACAGTAATGTGTCACAAGGAATTCATTGCTTACCAATTTGCTTTCTGTACTGATCAACAGGAAGTTTTATAGTGGAGGCATCTTTTCTACCCATCTTTGATCTCCAAAATGCCTGCTGCAAAGAAAGAAAATAATTATGATGAAGTCCTAAAAAAACTAAAAAGACTGTCTACAAACTTCAGGAATAATTTATTCCATAAAATTCATTTTTAAAGCAATGGGTAAAAATATCTTTGACTTATTCCCATTAGATATAAGTAAGGAACACAAAATTCTTTCAAATAAAGTATCAAGTATACAATTGCCTATAATTAAATTTCCCAATCATTTGTTTTTGGTAACATTCATTTTATCAAGTACTATCACTGCTGAATTAAACCACATTGTTAGAAAGCACTATCTATAAATGTGAAAATCATGTACTATTTATTCAGATGGGTTGGGGCTGTAGGCGTGCTCGTAGCAGTATGTTTCTTTCCAATTACCTAATGTGTTACACAAAAAGACTAAAGTGTGTATTCTCAGGTAGTTTGAATTTTGTTTAAAAAAGCATGACTTAAGTAACAAAAGTACATGAATTTGAATTCTAGCTATGCCTGTCTTCCTGTAAACAGTATAAAAAACTATTATCATTTACTAATATTCTCATGCTTACTATATTACATGCACTGATTTAATTGGCAACATATCTTTCAAATCCTTTTTTTTTTTTTTGAGGAAGACTAGTCCTGAGTTAACTACAGCCAATCCTCCTCTTTTTGCTGAGGAAGACTGGCCCTGAGCTAACATCCACGTCCATCTTCCTCTACTTTATACATGGGACGCCTACCACAGCATGGCTTTTGCCAAGCAGTGCCATGTCGGCACCTGGGATCCAAACCAGTGAACCCCATGCCACCGAGAAGTGGACCGTGCAAACTTAACCACTGCGCCACGGGGCCAGCCCCAAATCAAATCTTATTATTTTTATTGAATTTATAAAATATTGTGGCAGAGACCACAACTTACTTGTCAAAATTCATATTCTCCTTTCTTCCTGGCAAAGACCTAGAGTATACTTCCTAGCCTCAGTTGAAACATGTAATTGAGTTCTTGTCAATAGAATACGAAAGGCGGTGATGTGTGTCACTTCCAGACCTGACCATTAAAAATCTCCCATGTAGAATCCTGAGCTCTCTTTCCTCTTCCAGTTGGCTAGAATAGAAATGACCCCCTGACAAATCCTAAGGGTACATTTGTAGGAACACAAAACCTTGAGTAGCCTGGGGTGTAGAAGGGTACTCTCTAATTTGTTTACTATGCTAGTACTCTACTGAAAAAGGAAGAAATTCTACTGTGATTGAGTCATTATACATTGGTGGGGTCTATTTATTAGACTTAAGTGTTCCCCAGAGTGATGCCTGGAAGTTGCTCCTCAATGCTTCTATTAAGGAGCTATAAGATAAAGATGAGATCAGGCAAGAACTGACAAGTTCACAAGCAAAACTATAAGGGAATAAAGAGTCACGTAATTTGGAGACTAACAAGGTTGGAAAAGCTAACTACTTCTAAAAGCCAACTTCTTCTAAAAGTCAAACGGCAGGAAATAAAAATGAAAAAGGCTTTAAAGAACAAAGGCCCATCAAGACTTCTTAGTTAAAATGAGAAAGAGAGAGACAAAGAACAGATTAAGGATGTTCCTCTCTCACCTGAGCCTATTGTTTCAGATCACCTGGAGGCAGCCACCTTTGGGTAGAAAGAGGGAAGCAAGGAGTTCTGAAGTATAGAAAGAAAGCAGATGTGAGAAGTATGACTAGGAAAGAAATTGCAGTGTGATTACCGGCACATGGAACTAACTAGAAATGGTAAGAAGGTTACTAACATCTGTGGGAACTATACATACAAGAAAACAAGAAACTTTGCCTAAAAATGTCTGTGAATGAAAACCAATCCTTGGGCCTCTAAACTTAAATCAGCAGAATGCAGCCCCTAAAGGCAGCAAACTGTAGATTTGTAACATCCACTTCAGATGTGACCAGGAAGGAGAACTATCCAGAAGGCAGAGCCATGGAGATCAACAGACAAGGTGGTTTCTCTATAAAGATCATAATTAAAATCTAAGCAAGAAACTTCTACTGTCAGTACAATGGGACTTCTGAGTGGTCTCCAGCACAACAGGTTTCATCATCACAATGGACCAATGACTCATGTGTGTTTGCATTCTTCCTATTCTTCCCTTTCTAAATGGGAATGATTATAGCAGATATTCTCTGAATGAAGCAGATAGCCTCTGCTTCACCATTTATTTGCGGCTTGATGAGACTAGGGAAGAACAGTTAAATTTCATAGCCTGTAAAACCCAAGGAATCACATTCCAACCTGAGAGAGAGGACTTGCATTGGCTTAAGATCCTTGATTTTGTGTTGGATCCAATAAGTAGGCAACGTTGGGATCTCCTCACATGGAAGGCAGGAAAAGGATGTGCATGGCTATTTCATGGCCAGAAAGGTAGACTATAGACAAAAGTATTGGCTGCTTACTAAAATACATGTTCTCCTTTTTTTCCTAGGCCCAGCTGAGTACATTTTCCAGCCTTCTCTGAAGCTAGTTGTGGGCATGTGACTGAGTTTCAGCCAAGAGAATGTGAGTATTTTAATATTTGCTACTTCTAGAACTAACCTATTAAAACTTTTCATATGTGCTCATTCATCTGGCTGAAATGGACATGACCTCCAGAGTGAAGAAGAAAATAATGTAATGAAGATGGCAGAACCTATGACTGCTTGGATTCTGAATGACCGCATGGAGGAAAGCTATTTAACCAACTTGTTATCCTCTTCATATGACTGTGAGTACAAGGAATAAAATTGTAGCATTTGCGCTTCTATACATTTTTGCATCTATTTGTTATAGTAAGTAGTATCACCCTAACTAAAACAAATATGTATAGATGTCTCCATATAAACCGATATAATTATCAAACTGTAATTTTCCTAATGAGCATTATTAAGGTTCTCAAATGCCAAATGCATTTGAAATCCATTCAGAACTGTATTGTTTGTCTATATATATTGTGACACAGATAGGGCAATGCTAATAATGATCCTACCTAATACAGTAAAAGGCATCCCCAAATTAATAATTTCTACTTATGTTAAGAAAATTATAAATTCAGCTAAAAATCTATTTTTCTATTCATAATAATCTTCAGATTTAAAATTATAATACTATCTAGGAACGTATAAAGTAAGGCAGAAAGTCAAATAAATTAAATCTTCACCTCTCATAAACCATATAGTTATTACATCTAAGATCCTTAAAATTTCCTAAAACCTTAAAATTTCAGAAATGAAACCAAGACAACACCTAATCCTATATTCTCACTTGTTATAAATCAGAACATTAAAAATAACTCTGTTAATACAAGTACCATTTAAAAAGGCAATAGATATATTATAATTATTTGTATAGCAATATTATTTGCATAATGTTTTTATGCACGTTTTAATTGTAAAGAGGAGTCAAGTTATTTTAATCTTGATTGTGTGTAGCTTGAAAAGATATCATTCCATTTTAGGAGAGAAGTTAATTTAAATGAATAACACACAAGACATTATTCCCTCTTCAATTTAGTTTTGTTCTTTGCTTTTATGGAATAACCTTAATTTTTTTAAAAGCAAATTACTAAGGCTCTCTATCAAAATGGTCATCCTCTATGCATCTTCCAATTTCTTCCTGGTCACTTAAACCAACAGCCCAGGAAAGATAACAGTTTAGCGGTCAGTATTTTATTCATTCACTACCTGTAGTAAACAGAAAAGCAAGGGATTCACAGATGATATCTTTTCACCAAAGTAAATTGGATTTTACTTATTTTAAAAATATACTTTAAATAAACAAAATTATAACAAAAAAACTAAAGAATCTAAACTTTTATAAGGGCCTATATATTCTATAAACACACACATTTTATCTGTATAATAACATGTGAATATAAAAACTTCAAAAGAATTTCAACCAAGGAGAGACATTACAAATGGACTGGTTTTAAATTTTTGTTCCCAATTATTTTAGCGACTGTTAATCCTTAATCAAAATTTAAACTTTATTCATGTCTTTGAAATTATCATATTCTATTCTTTAAGCAAAATAACATTTTATCAAATGTTGAAACAAAAACTGCCTATAAAACACACAGACTCAAATGACTCATATTTTACTAGCTGCAACAAACACAAGAAGCTGAAAAATATTTTACTTTCCTAATAAATACATTGAGGCTACTTTAAATGATCTAAAGAGATAGCCATTCATGTGTGTGATACAAACTGTCAATGCCTCAGACATCTAGAACCTCTAAAATGTCCTGACTTTTCTTCCTTGTTCAAAGCCTTGCAGTAATCATCATTCATTTCTATTGTTTTGATGAGTAGATAGCAAACTCCCAAGAAATCCAGGGAGACATTAGCACATACAGCCGCAATTTCTAATAAGACAGCTATTTGCATTTGAGATCAGCCACAATTTAAAATGTGTTGTGATAGATGTGGAAAGGGAATAACAGATTTATATTAGCATGTACAATACTAAGATTGTTTTCACAGTTTAATTCCTTGGAGATTACGTCTCATCGCCTTCTTTTATAAAGAACACTGCATTCCCTGAGGAACTAACTTGCTCTGAGACCCAGCTACACTAAAATATGGATTAATAAGATAATATTTATTATTTATGAATTTTGCTGTAGGAATGATTTCAGATTAAATCATCAGAGACGTTTTTAACGTTCTTGAAACTTGATAACACATATTTAAGAGAAAAAATGCTAATTTTATTTAATACCTAAATTGCATATTAAAATAATTCATAATTAATTTTTTATTTAATCAAAACTTTATACTCTTTAGGACTTTTAAGATTGAAGATAGTGTTTTTGTTTTTAGTATGCTTATTTAACCTCAATTTTGCACAGTGATTTTGCCACACGTATTTTTAAGCATAACATATGACCTTTAAAAACAAAGGCAGTCTTGTATTCAATCACATTCTAACCAAGTTATTTTATTGCTCATTTATACCCTTTTTATGAAATCCAAAAAGAACAAGTAAAGAAATAAAAAACCTGAAGCTTTCACA